CAAAAAATAAAATGAAAATAAATAATTAAAAATCAACAAAATCAGTTATAACGTATTTTAAGACTTTTACATGTTTTTTAATGTATGTAGTGTTTTTGTGGGCTATTTATTGAGAAAACAACATTGAAGTTTTTATTTTTGAATTTCTTGTAAAATTTCCTTTACTTGAGTTTTACTTTTATTATTCTAAGTTAAGAGAAAAAAAAGTTATGAGACATAGATCAGTTATTTCTATTAAATTTGACTCTTCGACTCAACTTAATAGGCCCGGGGGCACGGGTTAACCTTAACGGATCGGTCCCAAATTTTGCACAGCTCATTTTTTTGACCATTAAAAAAAATTAAGGTGTAGCGTAAAAAAAAAAAAGACATTCGATTTTTGAGGGTCACCCTAGTGTATATGTTATGACAGATAAATTAATTGTTTGTATAGAAGTAATATAAAATATAAATTCTTCATTAATAAATGTAAGATGAGTAATGCAAAGCATTGTCTATATTACGACAGTTCTTTGATACTCTATAAAAATTCTTAAATTAAAAAAAAAAATAATTATCTAGATCCATATCTACTATATTTATACTTTGAAATGTTTTTAAATACAGAAGTTAGCATATCACGGTACCTAGAGCACAGTGTTCTTGAAGCCAATTTAAAAATAGTAAAATTTGGACTGAATAAACTTAATAAAATTAAAAAATTAAAATAGTCATACAACCTTTTTTTTTTTTTTTTGAAAATATAAATCGCTAAATAGTAGTAGAATCACCTAGTTTAGGGGGGCAGTATAAACTGTTTTGCCACCGTTATTCCTATATAAACATAATTACAATTGTAACATATTAGTTTTATTTTTGATGTAAAATTAATATCTAAATTACTAAAAAAAGCTTCAATGAACCTTTTTATTAAAGAGCGCCAATTTTTTTGAAAACTAAACATAAAAATTAAGACAATTTTAATTAGCTATGCTTACTATCTCAATTTATTTAAACATGACATTTAATTTTACTTATAATTTTAGTAATAAACAATGATAAAATAATTTTATAAAAACTTAGTATATATTACATAAAATAATTTTACCTAAAGTAATTTTAAGCTTTCTTTATGATAATTACACTATTCCAGTCTTTTTTTAAAGAACATTTTTGTGTTGATGATGTAAAATGGCTAAAGAAAAGATTATTATTCTTTTAAATTATAATGTATACAATTTAAATTTTATTATAATAAATTTATATACTGTGGAACAGAGTATATACAATGACAAATTGATTTACAAATGGTTGATTTTTAATGTATGTAGAACTTTATTTATGGTAGAATACTTGATATTGATATTTGAAATGGATAAGAAGAACCTGTGATAGTTTTTCATTAATCATTAAACTAACTATATTAAAATCAATTTTATCATTTTTATATCACTCCTCTTGTTTAAAATTTTGAGCGTTTCTTAAAACTTTTATATATTTTGGTTTAAATTTGTGTTGCATTTATGTTTTTATACAATAGAAACAAATTTAAAAGTAACTAAATCTATATTCTAACATGCTAGTTCCTATCTTTAAAATAATTGTAAAATGAACAGTTTATTATAGATTGTTATAATTAGTAAATCCTATTAATAATTTATATCATTATTATTAATTTTTTTTTTTGAGATCAACAAGTAGATTTTGACTGAAATCATAATTTACTGTTGACGATTTCAGTAAACGCCTCCACAACGGTAGAGAATGTTTGGTGGCTGGCTGTGCTTTTGCCGTAGTCAATGTTTGTGACAAAGGGGCATGTTTTGGTGTTGATGGGTTTAGAATGGAAATGGTTATGGTCATAGCAGGAGTAGAAATCATGATAGCTGAACTTGTCGTCGAGATATTGACTGCTGAAGCAGTTTCAGTAGCTGTTGTACAGTTACCTGAAGAGGAAGACATGCCATTTTTATTACTACCTCCGAGAGCCGTATAGTTACAACTCGATCGTTTGTTATCACTTGTAATTGTTTTATCCATCATAGTATGATTATACGGTCCATATCCACTGATATTAGCCGCTGACAAATGCGCATCAGTAAGATTGTATACTGCTGTCTGATTAAACTCGTGCCCCGAACTCAAGTTTCGGGGCGACCAATCTTATACTTTAGCATATTTTACAACTACACCATACACCATCAGACTAAGTAAAAAAACACCAGCCACTGCCACAAATTTTGAACAAGCCTCAAAATCATCTTGCCTATGAATAGTAGCGGCTTCACGAAGCTGTTCCTGTCGACGTTTAGTAGCAAGTTTTCTTGCTAATTCTGGAAAAGCTAATGTTTGCGTAAATGTCAGCTTTTGTAAAGATTCTGAAAGGCTATGCATTCCAACACTTCCACGAGCTATATTCCGTAGATGAGCAAATTCTGGGTCTGTCACATCTGAAAACCGACCAGTCCACGTAGAGCTACGCCGACGTCCCCAAGGATCCGAATTTCGAGCACCTTGCCAACATACGCCGGATACACTCATCAATGATGAAGCATCCGATGATGCTGCTGATAGACTACCTTCAAAATCGCCACCCATCTACAAAATATTGAAGAATAAATAAAAATAATAATAATATTAAATTATTAAATTATTAATTAATAATAAATTTATTGTTTGTAAGTGCAGAATTTAATAAATGTCTTTATCGTTAATAGTTTTTTCACATTCGTGTAATATCATTTTTTTCATGATATAACTTTTGTCTAATATACTGACAATTATGTATTTTTTTCTACGAATAAGAGAAAAATAACTCTTAGTAAACAATAATTCTTTATTAAAATGCTAAAATTAGAGACACATTTTAATATACAAAGTTTGTATAATTATGTAAATATTGAAATGTACGCATTAATTGAAGGTTATTATATCTATGTTACCACATAACCACGAAATATGTATAATACCAATAAATGTTTACAGTTAATATTTTACATAGGCCATAAATTAAATTTTCTTTGCGCGAATTTGGTATAATTTAGTGTTATAAGTATCTAAGCAAATTTATTTGTTAAAAAATGTACCCATTTAAAACATACAGTGTAAGTGGTACATACGTAGAATGACGTTATACCCAAATTTTCTACATAATATTCAAAATATCCTGTACAAATATTTGATTATACATTATAATGTGTTGTGACACGGTATTAATAATTTTATGATATTAGAAAGCAATTTAAGTATCTAACAAATAGACTTAATGAAGCCCATTCATGTTATAACATTAAGTGCACATAAACTAGGTAAAAACAACGATCAACAGGTTTCATTTAATTTTAATAAACGCATATGTAGATATAGTAACTATCACACTGCTTTCATAATTTTCCATTATTCATGAACAAAAATAGACTGTACATAATGCATTTAAATATAAACTTGACAAAGAAGTAAAGCTTTATTATAGTTGTCAATTATTCAAGGATATTTGAAACACTTCATATGAATGTACTCATATAAACAAAGACTCATATAATCTCAATAAAAATAAAATTCGTCAGAAACTGTAATAAACTTGTCCAAAATTATTTAATTTTGTATCTTTTTGAATTGTTTTTTAATATTTTTTTTCGCCTATTGCAAAATACACGTAAGAAATTATTTTATTTTACATTTAAAAATTATATATAAGTATAACTAAGAAAAACTAGATACAGCATAATATTGTTTTAATAAATATTATCATAACAGCAAAGAATTCAAGTCTTGACTAGTTTGGTATTATTAAAATAAAGTAGTATTATTAAAAATATTATGTGCTATAAAATAACTGTTATTAATGTTACTACATACTGTAAATTTCTTGAACTTTTCAAGTGCTACCTGTTGATTTACCCATGGATTTTGTATAATTAACAAATAATCAAAAACTTTTGCAAATTATTAATTTGTTCAAAATACTCAACATTTTCTTATATAAAAATAAAAGATTTAAAATATTCTATCCTTGTTAGTATAATTCTTGACCTTAGGTGGGTTGGGCGAATGATCACGAAGTCCCCTGTTACAACAACGAATTCTTTATGACCCATTCGTGTGTAACTAGAGCAACAAAATCACAACATGCATGTCATGTATACACTAGTGACAATTTGTTAATTTGAGGAAAGAATAATTTTAAGATCATTGAGTAATATTTAAATAGCACGGATTAAACGTTTTCATTTAATAACGAAAGTTTTATTTCTGTTTTTAGTTTCATCGGCGCAATGTTTTTATTGATAATAATTTAATAAAATGTTAAAAGAAATAATATATCGCCTTTGAAAAAGTATCCAATTTTTATATCACGGTTACATAAAATATTCAGTTGCGCTTGTTTCAAAAAGAAAAAATTAATCAAAGCAAAATGTTACACGAATCACTTTTTGCATAATATTACACTTTCTTTGCAAATTTGATTCTTACCACACGAAATAGTACACTCAATTAGCGATTAAATCCTATTAGATTTTATGTAATAAATTGTTTTTTTTTCATGCTATGTTTTTAATCGTTTAAACACACTAAATCAAAAACTCATTTTACCTTACACATAATTCTAAGCAGCTGATAAGATAAATACAGTGTATTCTTAATATGTCACACGTTATTGTTTGGCATATTTCGTTATATCAAAATCGATTGAACTCCCCTAAAATATACCATAAAACGTAATAGTGATTTATTTTGACACCTCCAAATAAAATTTAGCGTTTTTTCCCCCGAAAATATAAATTACATAACGTGTATTAAAATAAATAAATTTATGTAGTGATATAATTACGTCTATTCATCAGTAATTTTGATACCAATTCATTTTAAAGTTCTTGTAAAATAATATATATTGTTTTGTACTCTTTTTAAAACAAATTAAATTTTGAAAAGCACAAGAAATATTTAAAGTTAGATTTAACTCAACCACGCTTTTTATTTAAATAAAAAAGTATACAATTACACAAGAGGATTTAATGACGTATAATGTATAATGTAAAATAAAAAAAAGTTAAGAAAAAAATTTCTGTTAGCAAACAATTTACTTCTAAAAATAAATAATTAGTAAATTATGAGTGTACAAACCTACATAAACATTTCTTTATTATGTATAATTGTTAAGAACAAACAAAGATTAAATTAAAAAGTGTAAAGTTATTAATGGATTTGTCCAATTAACGTTTTTTAATTTATCAACAACTTCATATAACTTTTCAAATTAATTTAACGGGAAAAGAACAATTTAACTACAGTGAAGTATTTTCATATTTTACATGCTTTATAAAATTTTAATTTCATAGAAATTTTACATTTTTTAATAGTAAGTCAAGAAACCCCTAATAAAAAAAAAATACTGTCAAGAGTTGAAGTACCTTAAAGTAGGTACTTTAAATATGTGTGCTTAAATATTATTTAAAAATAGACAATACATTTTTTATTAATAAAAAAACTTCATTACGTCAATTTCTATGTTATCTCTCGACGTTGAGGCAATAGTATTAGAACGATTTGAATAGCGAGCTCGATCTGGATGTAAGAAAATTGAACTGAATCGCCTGTTAGTACCAGAAGGCCCTGCAGTAATATTATCATCAAATTCTACTCCACAAGTATTCACATTTATGTTGCTTTTTTGAATTGGACTCGCCTAAAAAAATTAATATATATTTTCATTGCATTAATAATAACACCAATAAATGTTAAAGAAAACTTTTGTTACAAAAAATACTACTTATTTTTAAATAAGAAACTTTTTTGAAAAATGTATAATAATTTAAATTTAAGTAATTTAAAGGATATTATTTTAAGCAAAATAGCTTTGAAGAATATACGGTAGAAAGTGACATACAGAAGTGTGGAAATTATAGAGTCATAAAGTTAATGAGTTATAGTATGAAAATTTGGGGAAAAGTAATAGATAAGAGAATAAGAAATAAGACATCGGTATTTAAAAATCAGTTTGGATTTATGCTTGGTAAGTCAACAATGAGGCCAGTATATTGTGTGAGGCTAATAGAAAAGTTTAAGGAAAAGAAGAAAAAGCTGTGTATGGTATTCATAGATTTGGAGAAATCGTATGATAGAGTACCAAGAGAGGTTTTCAAGTGGACATTAATGAGAAAAGGTACATTAATATAATAGAAGATATGCATGATGGCACTTGTATCAGGGTAAAAAGCATAGGAGGAGTAACAGAAGGTTTTCGGGTAAGAGTAGGAGTGCACCAAGATTCTGCTTTATGCCCTTACTTATTCTCTATAGTGATGAATGAAATTACTAGAGAAATACAAGGAGAGGTGCCGTGGTGCATGTTGTTTGCTGACCATAAAGTGTTAATAGAAGAAAATAGGGAGGAAATTAATCAAAGGCTAGAGGTTTGTAGATAAGCTCTTGAAGAAAAGGGTTTAAGAATAAGTAGAAGTAAGACAGAGTACTTTGACAAAGAACACGAGGTAGGTGAAATAAGGAGATTAGTGACAATAGGTGAGGACGGGATTGGAAAGGTGGAAAGTTTTAAGTTTTTAGGGTCAGTTGTGCAAAAGAGTGGTGGTGGTATTGACGAGGATGTAAGACACAGAATTAAGTGTGAGTGATTGAGGTGGAGAGAATCATCTGGCGTCTTATGCGATAAAAGAACTCCAATGAGGCTGAAAGGTAAGTTTTATAAAACTGTAGTGAGATCAGCAATGATGTATGGTTCATAGTGATTGGCGGTTGACAAGAAAGTAGAGCAGAGATGAGAATGCTTAGATGGATGAGTGGAGTATCTAGAGAAGATGGGATAAGAAACGAGCATATAAAAGGTAGTATAGGTGTAGCGTTAATCGTGGATAAGATGAGAGAAAATAGACTTAGATGGTTTGGTCATGTTATGAGGAGAGAAGAATCGGAAGCTGTAGTAAGCACAGTTATAGAAATTAATTTTGAAGGAAGAAGAGGTAAAGGAAGACCAAAAAAGAGATGGAGGGATGCTATTGAATGCGATATGAGTACAGCTGATGTGAGCGTAGATGATGTGGGAGATTGTGTCAAGTGCAAATTTAGGATAAGGGTGGCCGACCCGAAGTAGTTGGGATTAAGGCGAGAAGAAGAAGAAGAAGAAGAGTTTTGAAGAATATACGTGATTATACTTGCCAATGAATTTTTCTAAATAAAACTATAACTATTGTTTAAAAAAAAATTTAGCCAATTAATTATTGTTTTTAATATCTGATAAATAGAAAAAAAATAAGATACTATAATTTTAAAATTGATGTACCATTTGTACGTTTAAAAATAAAAAAATTAAGTTTGGGTTAGATTTCTGATACTTATTATTTTGTACGTAAAAAAAAGTTTACATAAAGAATGTATTTTTTCATCAAACTTCTTAATAATTTCATTCAACAAAAAATGGTGTTAAATTAAACTTCATATGCATAATTAAGTTTACAAACGAAAAGTATTGGTAAAATTTGAAAAAATATAGTGAATTTGAAATCAAATAAATTGAGCAAATATTACAAAAATACAGTTCTTAATTACATTTTATTTCCCTTTAACACAATGAAATTATATTACAAACAAAACAAGTAAGTATCCTTATAAAAAATAATTCACCTGATATTACTTTTATTATAAGTAAGACGCATTTTCCATAATATATTTAATTTTAGAATTAATTATATTAGTAAAACGAAAAAAAATAATATTCTTTAAACTTTTTATATAAGCACGACAATATAATTTAAATTATATTATTATTATTAAATATAATTTAAAATAAAGATAATATATTAATATAATATATTATATTTAAATAGCAAAGATGTATGATTATACACAGTGATTTTTTTATCATAACATATCAAGTAACTATATTACATACAAAAAAAAAAAAATTAATTAAGCAAATTTTTTGGTTACCTTTCGTTACATATTATTTTTAAATTATTGTTAATGTAGTACTTTTTGAGTTCATCCCTTATGAATTATAAAAGTGTCAATTTTGTTTTTTCAAATGAGAACAAATTTTTTGTATTTAATAAAATTTTTAAAAATATATTTTAATAATAAATAACATTTAAGTTTTAAACATAATATTCTTTAATTAGATATTTAACTTTAGAGTTTCAAATTTTTGAGTTAATAGACATGTATAATATTTGAGAGATTACAAATACAGGTTGTATTTTTTAACATGTATTTTTTATGACGTCGCTTTCACATATACTGAGTGTTTATTATCAATTATAATTTTATCAATAGATATGCTTTCTGTATTGCCAGTGGATGTATTAAAAATTCCATTGATAATAAATGCTACGTATCTGTGAATATCGACATATTAATAAAAAAAATCAGCTCTATGAAAAAAGAATATAATTAGTAAACCAATTGAAATGTTTCCAAAAGTTATGACAACTAACCTGTGTTTTTTATACTTATATAGTTTTTAAAAATCATTTTATTAAATAAGTCGAAACAAGAGTGATATCTTGATTTTTAATAGTAGTTTGAGATGTAAAAATTGAAAAATGTTTCAACAATATATTTTTATTTTCCAATATTTATATGAACATTATAAACTTACTTGTGTTGACTCAATACCGGAATCTCCACTGTGGATTGCTAAATTGTTCTCTATAACTATTCGATTATGAGAAGATAAATTATTACTACTGCTTCTTCTACTCGGCCAAATATGTAACAAGGGGACCGATACTGCTGTATCTTCAGAAGTTTTCGTTTTTTGTTCTCTACTGATGTTAGGTACATAATTATTTTTGTCACCCCTACTTTTATTTGTTGTACTCATATCACTCAATTCAATTGCAACGGTTGTGAATTTTTTCTTCTTTGATGTTTTAGATGTGCTTTTTGCCTTATTCTCCATCAAAGGAATCTACACAAAGAATACATTATTTATTTAGCGTAAAACAATAAATTTAATATTTAATATTATCAAATACTGTACATATTAAACATTTAAATGGATCAAATTAAAAAATTATTTTTCAAGATTTTTAATAAATATATATAATATAATTCAAAGTTCTACTATGTATTCAATTTTGATTACATTTATATAACTTTTTTTAAATTGATGATCCCATCATCGTGACCTCCCTTTGTAATTTATAAATTGGCCTTTATTATTGGTAATATAAAAATATATTCTAACGTTAATCAAAAAACTTTTTAGGGTTTTAAGTTTCACAGGACAATAATAAGATATAACCACGCCGATAAAACTAAAAAAATTTGAACTCGATAGGCCTGCAAATAATAGAAACAAAGATATTTTTAGTGTCCCTAACTTGTCTAGCTTAATTGAATTAGGGTAATTAAAATTGATACTAACTAGAGAATGGTCTAGAGAATAGAAAATATGGTCATTCATATGGGTGACTTGATGATCCACTATTATACAATGATAGATATAATATAATAACACTTTGGTAATAACACTTAGGTGAGTATACCGAATCAAGACAATTCGGTAAAAGGTGCCCACAATGGACCAACAGGACTGAGTGCATGGGCATTATGTCCACCTCGATAATAACTAGAACTAAAACTAAGTATTATATAACTAGATACCAATAATATCCAACAGTGTACCTAAAGGGAAGCAAGGGGATGGCTTGCCTCTCTTAAGTTATTTCAGTTGGCCAACAAAATATAATTTTTAATATTTAAAACATTATATTGATAATATATTGCATAAATATTTAGAGTTCAATATTCTATAGTTATTCTAATTAATATATTTTCATAATATTTATAAGCAAATATTTAAAAACATTTTGATAAACACATCGTAGAAAATTTTCAGTGTAATATTCTGTACTTGTTCTCTGTAATATATTCTCAAAATATACATTAACAAATATATAAAAAATCATTTTGTGAACATATTGTGGAAATATTTCAAAAATAATATTGTTCGGTCGTGACGAAACAGTTTGGTGGGTGAGCGCCGGTTTTTTATTCTCTTCAGCAGGAGCGCGACCTGTCACAACTGGTTTACTTGTTGGGGTAGTGTGTGGCGGTGGTCGCGAAGGCGTAATTCGCGTACCGGCCTGCCTAGAGTACTCATGTGTAGTGTCACGGCTCAATACAGTAATTGATACATCAACAATATTCATTCTGGTACAAGGCAAGGTCAGAATATATACATATTTGTTTTTGTTTAAATATTAATTTGTTAATATATTTGTGTTGTGTTCTTGATATTATTCTAACTATAAGTGTACTAACCATAGATATAAGAAAAATCATTGTAGTTATTATATTGGAATACATATTTAATTCGGTAAATAAATTACAGTCCATTAAAAAAACGTTATTTTTTAATTTTATTTAAAGGAACCTTTAGAGACGTGATTTCATTTGGCGATCGGTCGTCCGAGTATTTTCGCGTCGCACAAATATATTTTTTATTATATTTATAAGATATTGTCATAATATTTCTTCAAGATATTTAAAAAAGGATTTTGTAAGCATATTTTGACACTATTAATATATCGAAATTGCTAGGTGGGTATGCTTATACAATATAACTAGTATAATATTGAAACTTTTACTAGAGAAAAATCGAAAGTTCAAAAAACTTGTCTATAGTTAACTATTTTCTCAATATAATTGTAAAGTCTTTTACATTTTTTTCTTTTGAAACATTAATATATTTAACTTGAAAATTTTTTTTTTAATTTTTTTTAATAAATTTATATGTTAGTGAACAGAGTAAATAGAATGGCAAACTAATTTACATAAAGTTAATTTTTAATAAATGTAAACATTTATTTATAGTGAAATACTTGATATTGGTATTTTAAATTAATAAAAACAAATTGTAATTGTTTTTCACTAACCATTAACTACCTATTCTTAATTTAATCTTATTATTTATTTATCCCTTCCTTTATTTACAATTTTAAGCATTTTTAGATCTTTTAAATAGCCTATATTTATGTTGTATTTATTCTTAAAAAATTATGACATCTAGAAGAAAATAAATGAGAAACAAATAATTTTAAGCAGTTTGTAGTACTACACAAAATTTAAAAATAACAAATTTAATCTTTAATATAATTTCTAATAATAAATATCGTTTAATTATTATAGTTATTTAAAAAAATTATATATATTGTAAATCAGAGTTTATTTCGGGGAATACAATATTGTTATTATTAATTTACTTAATGTGTTTGTATTAAAATAAATTATTCTTTCTCTTGGTAATAATATAAAGTAAATAGTATACTAAAAATATAATATAGTTGGATTAAACCTATCACACCATGTTTATTTGATCACTTTTAATATTTTACTTTTTTTATAGTACGTAAATGATAACTTTTATACTACTGTACATTCAAAATAAAAATAAATGAAAAAAAACCCAGCTCAGGGGGGTCGCGGCACAGTGGTGACGTGACATATTTGGATCAAGTATAATGATATCTGACAGTGATTAAAATCACTACATACATTAAAAAACATGTAAAAGTCTTAAAAAACGTTATAACTGATTTTGTTGATTTTTAATTATTTATTTTCATTTTATTTTTTGGAAAACGCATATTCGTTTAAAATACAGTTCACTCCCTACTTCTTTCTCCTGCATGATATAGATACTCCAGAAACGAACATTAACTAACCCGCACATCATTACGCGTATCGTTCCGTTCAAACACTTTAAGGGCAGTTTTTAGTCTTGGGAACAAAAAAAAAAAAAAAACCCAGCACAGGGGGGTCGCGGCACAGTGGTATAATGATATTTGACAGTGATTAAAATAACTATAAAAAAAAACGCTTCGATGCAAATCTTTAAATAGTGTTTAATTTTAAAAAATTGATGTATTATTCCAAAAGCTACATGATCTGCTAGTTCCTTATTAATATGCTGATTAGGATAAAGTATGTCGAATAAAAAAGGGATTATTAAAAAATATTATTTCTTATGAAAAAATTGATTAATCCATATATTTTTTAAAAAGTTATAGCATTTTAAAGTAAAAAATGTATATTATGAAATCGACAATTTTCACACAAAAATAGCATTTGGTAGCCATTTTCAGCATGAAGACAAGTCCAGAGGTAAAATTTTTTTTTTTAAATTAAAGTATATTACATTAGCTTTAATTTAAGATATATATAAAAGTGTCAGATCTTCCGGAACATTTTCAAAAGTTAAGTTGAAAAAATTAATTTTTTGTGAAAAAGTTGTCATTTTAAATCCCCCCTTGTGGGCAGGTTAAGGGTTAAATTTATGAAAAAAANGTCATTTTAAATCCTTTTCTGTGGGCAGGTTAAGGGTCAAATTTACAAAAAAAATATACCAAATGATAGGTAAAGACATCAAGCATCTATACAAAAAAAATTATATTGATATGTTCATTTTTGAAAAAGTTATGATAGTTTTTAGTAAAAAAAATTGAAAAAATTTTGAAAATAAGCGATTTTTAAATTTGTAATTTTTTTGGAGGTTTCCCCCATTTACAGGGAACGAGGGCATTTTTTTCAATTATTAAATAAGGGTAATGTCTTCGACTAGATACGATTTGTGATCTTTTGACGTATCGTTGAAAGAAATCGGTTCGGTGAGAGCTGAGAAAAAGTGGTAACAGACACAAAAAAAAAAAAAAACACATCATAGTAAAACCAATACCTTCTCAGCTTCGCATCGAAGCTAAAATCATAAAGATATGAGTTAGCTGATATAACACACCTTGTATATTACAAATAGTATATTATTTTGTACTGTGTCAGTACAAATTGTTTTTTTTAAGTTTTTTTTTTAAATTTACAGCAGGACAGTTTAAATATAATTAAAGTTATTATTTATTTTAAATTAAATTGTATTTTTTAAATTGTATTGTAAATTCTAAATATTTAAATAAGAATTTATAATGCAGTTCTGATCCTTAAATTAACTTTAAAATTTTTCAAAAATTCACCAAATAAATATTTATATTATTGTTATGTTGCAACAATTTTAGCATATAGACATTATATAATTTTGTAGATTTTGTAATCTATTCCAAGTAATGAATGTAATGTATTTTTTTTTTTTTTTTATTAGCTATCAATACAAAGTATTATTATAGCTTAACAATTAAATGAAATGAGAAAAGAAAAAATAAATAATAATAATAAAAAAAATAGTACAATTGATCTTACATCAACAAAATTACAATAAAATTACAGTAAAAATCGTTAAATAAAAAAACCAGCTGAATGAATGAAAGAAATAACTAAAGATATTACATCGAGAGAAGTTGAGTTAAGAATTGTGTAACAATTAATAGGAGAGATATTAAGATGAGATAAATTATTAAATAAAATAGAACGATTACTTTCAAATGCACAGCAGTCAAAAATTATATGAGGAAAATCGCAGAGAACTTCATCGTCATGTTTGGGGCAGAAAGGAGAATTGTTAAGGGACATTTTGTACGCATGAAAAGGAAGGCGATTATGACCAAGTCTTAGTCGAGAAAAGGATAATATATGGAACCCGGAGAGAGGAAGTTTTTTATAGTACGTAAAAGATAACTTCTATACTACTGTACATTCAAAATAAAAATAAATGAAAATATATTTAGTTCGAAAATTCTACAATAATATGTATTATATAATACTTATTTTCATTTCATCGGGGATAAAGAATCTTTTGACATTCTCAATGTCAACATTTCTCTACATCAATACACAAATATAGCATTTTTATTACTGTTTATCAACATTTTTTCTTGCATTAAATGCGCTAAAAACTTCCAGTATTTGTATGTAAAAATTTGAACAATACATTTTAGGAGATTACCACTACTTTTAATTTGATAATATGATAATTAATTGGTTCTTACAATTTTTTCCGATAAACCTTTTATTCGTTGTAACATTTTATTATATAGTATTGGTAAGTTGCGCGGTGGCTATAGTTTGTGTTAATACATGTGTACTTTCAGGTTTTTTTATCTCTGGAGTTTTAAACATAAATTATTTAACTAAACAACATTGAAGAATTTTTTGAACCAAATATTTTTTCTCTTTACATAAATTTAAAATTCTCAATATAATTAAAAAAAAAATAAGTATCTTATTTTTAATTGATCATTNCAAAAAAAAATAAGTCTCTTATTTTTAATTGATCATTTTGTATAAAAAATACAAATTTGGATAAATGTAAACAAAAATAATAAAAATAAAATAATTTATAAGTGTAAAATATGAATTATTAACTTACGAAGTTAAAGAGAAACAACTGAAGATAGCTGAATAAGCGAATAAAATAATTGTTAAGGGACATTTTGTACGCATGAAAAGGAAGGCGATTATGACCAAGTCTTAGTCGAGAAAAGGATAATATATGGAACCGGAGAGAGGAAGTTTATGGAACCAAGGATGA